ATCTTTGGGCTGTGGTGGGTATGAAAGGGTTCGATCTCGCAATCAACGCCTTATAAATTGTGCTCAATCTGTTTGCGGAGACCACATCGCAGTTGCAGTGTGGTGGTGGCACTGTCCTGTGGCGGGTATGAAAGGGTTCCATCTCGCACCCAACGCCCTGTAAATTGTGCTCAATCTGTTTGCAGAGACCACATCGCAGTTGCGGTGTGGTGGTGGCATAGTCCTGTGGTGGGTATGAAAGGGTTCGATCTCGCAATCAACGCCGTGTAAATTGTGCTCAATCTGTTTGCGGAGAGCACATCGCAGTTGCGGTGTGGTGGTGGCACAGTCCTGTGGTGAGTGTGAAAGGGTCTGATCTCGCAATCAACGCCTTGTAAATTGTGCTCAATCTGTTTGCGGAGACCACATCGCAGTTGCGGCGCGGTGGTGGCCCACCACCACAGGACTGTGGTGCCCTGTGGCCCACCACCGTGGTACCCACCAGGAGGTGACCACATGCTGTTGTGGAAACTTGGGTCCCTGAACGGAGCAGAGAACTGGTATATGTACACTGCAAGCCAATCGACACGGTGTCTTTTCCCCGCTCTGAATGGCTTGTGTTACACGTGGTCACGTTTGTTTGGGCGACGTGGCACATGTAGAGAGGGTTTGATCCAAGCTGGACCATGCTTCGGACCACATGTGGATATGTATGGACCACGTGGAATGTCACGGAGCACACAGTCTGCTGTGCACGCTGCGTATAGTTGTCAGCTCCAGGCAGTTCGACACAGTCAGCAGTGCTCTCTTTTTTTTTTTTCTTCCTTTGAATTTCTCGCTTATTTTTGAAGTCATATACCACTAATGCAGGCAGGATATTAGTCACTTTTTTTTTTTTTGTTGATTAGGAAACCGTTGGATAAGTCTTTGGCTAAAACAACAACAACAGCAGCGGCAGCAGAAACACGAAAAACTCCATTTTTTCGGAAGTTTTCCCATGATTTTTGGATATGGTTCAGTCGGACTGTTGAGGAATCGGGAGTTTGTTGATTGGGACTATTTTGGCGGTCCCATCGAAACGGTTTTCAAGTGTCAACCCATTTCGACGCTGTTGGGACTATTTTGGCAGTCCCATGTCTCAGGGTGTGGGGAACCAAGTGTACCCTTCTAGCCAAATGAATCATCCACTATATTTGCGGTCCCAGGTCTCGGGACGCTGGACATGGGAGCGTTAACAAACCCTGAGCAGTGTCAAAATCATGGTAACCGTCCGGACGTCCGGACCGGGTTCCAGACAGTCGGGTGTCCGGTCCCCGTGTCCGGATGGAGGTCCCTGGGGCAAAAAAAATAAATAAAATGGGGCGGCCCAGGACTTTTGTCGGGTCCTAGCCGCCCCTCGAAAAATAATGGGGTGATTTTTAAGTGTCCTTTCACCCCACCGGACATGGCCTAGAGGTCCAGACACAAGACACTGCAGGTTTTTGAGGTGGCTGGTTTCGCACAGGCCCGAGCAATTTCAAAGCGGCTGTTTCGACGTGGCGCCCGCTGCCTCTGCCCATTGGGGGGGGGGAGAGAGAGAGAGAGAGAGAGAGAGAGAGAGAGAGAGAGAGAGAGAGAGAGAGAGAGCGCACTGACAGTGCTGCCAGTCTGAAAACTCTGACGTTCTGAATTGAACTGCAAAGTTTGAACTTTTAGTTATATATGAAGTTATGAACTTAAATTACTAAATCCAAAGTTCAAAGTTCAAAGTTAATCATACTTAAAAAAAAAAAATATCCTCTGTTTCTTTAGTCTTGTGCCTGCTTTGCATTGTTTGCAACTCTGCATGTCTGCTAGTTAAATGTGCTGGTTGATTTGCTGCAAGACACGTGCTCTGCTGCCTGAACTACAGAATGCAAGGCAGGCAAGTGCCTGCCAACACCCCCACCCAACCCCACGCCCACCCCCTTTTTTTTTTCGTTTTTTTTTTTTTGGTCCGGACATTTTTGCACCCCGGGGACCGGTCCGGACTGTCCGGCGTCCGGTGATGGCCGGTTCAGCGGACAGTCCGGACCGGTCCAGATACTGGTGCGGAAGACTGTCTGGAAGTGTCCGGTGTCCGGGTCCGGGGTTACCATGGTCAAAATGTACCTCCGATGATCTCGGACGAATTTCCAAACTCTGTGGGTGGCCTTTACCTCAGTGGGTAGTGCACCGACATTGAATGCGTATTGTGGGATGAGGTTGCCGGTTCGAAACCTTGGGTCTGCAACTTGGCGCATGCGGCTGGTGGGCATTGGCTGGCCGACATAATGCAGGCCCACACACACACCATGTGCAGATGGTCTTAAGGCTCAGTGGGTAGACCACCGGTACCAAAATGCGCATTCGGGTGTCAGGTCGCGGGTTCGAACCTGCGGCGGTGGATGTTGACAGATTCGTATCTCGCTCCCTTTGAGCTCTTGTACCTTAGGCCGTCGATTGGCATATGGCCATCTGCACACGGGTTGTGTAGGCCAGGATTTCAGCAGGGAGAGAGGGGGTTGAGTTGGGATGAGTTGGGAAGGGAGGCCACGACCCATGACTTTCTTCGCGGATGCGGTCGGGCGCCCCTCGTGGCAACGCAAGCAACAGTGGTGCATGGACCGCCTCCCGGTAGGTTGCACAACCTGCATAAGGAGCAAGAAATTGTTGCCCTTGGTGTTTGAGCGTGCGTCCGAGTTCGGGGCTGGGGGGGGGCTGTTTCCAGCGTCTGGGTAGCGCCGATCCTGGCCGAGACCTTCCTGTGGGTGGTTGAGGTAGAGAGTCCTGTGTTTTGTAGAGAGACGTCTGGGTGAGCTGTGTGAACGCACCCCAATGGTCAGGGGATAACTCGGTGCGTCATCCCCTCCGTTGGGACTCCATCTGCACTGTCCCCCCTACTGCATAACCTTATATGAATTTTCAAACTCTTCCCCACGTCCCTCCCCTGCTCCGCCCCTCCACACGACTAACTCCTATGGGTCTGGTCAGACATGTACACCAGAGTCATTGTGGTCCTTAGCAGCCAAAAACTATAATTCAGAAGATTGCCAAAACTGTACCTCAGATGATCCCCTGGACCCTTCACCCCTCCCCACCCAATTACCACAACCAAGGAATTCGTTGGTGGAGCTGTCTTGTTATGGGTTAGGCTACTAGTCCCAGTGAGTCCTGCTTTGTCCTCCCATCTCCCCCTCCCCCCCTCCCCCCTCCCTTCCCGGCGCACTACTCAACAGTAAGCAAGCACGAGGCAAATTCCCCTGCAGCAGAGGGCAGTACTCGTCCGAGGTATGAATTCCGTGCTTGGTGAAGATCTCATATCTGAGTTTTTTGGCAGCAGGTTTCTACTAAAAACAGTGTTGCATACCCCGACGGTTGGCAGCCCTTGACTGGTCGGATGCTGATCGGCTGACCGGTTTTGCTGGTCAGCACCTACTGGTCAGGGGTCGTCGGCTCCTTTTATTTTTTTGGGTCCAGAACCCCTAATAACCCCACCAACACCCCCATATCTGCCCCCAATACCCCCATAC